AGGAAGGAAGGAAGGAAGGAAGGAAGGAAGGAAAGGAGAGAGGAAGGAAGGAAGGAAGAAGGCAGGCTCTGGAAGATAGGAATATTGTGTGATTTCTAAAACTATAGAAGTATTTTCAAAAGTACAAATTAGGAAAACATTCAAGAACTTTATGGAGAAACTCCAAAAGCAGATACTTGGGCAAACATTCCAAACCGATGTTCTTAGGGAAAACATTTGGGAGATAAGAATTTATAAGCTTGATTAGGTACATAATGTGAAATATCTCAAAGTCCAAGTGAGAAAAGTACATATGTAATTAAAAAACAAGATTAGTAAGTAAAGGTAGCATTGAAGTTTTATGAAATCAGTGCCTAAGCAAAGTATTAGGAGGAGTAATAAATTTGTGCACACCATGTCAATGAACTTGGAAAGCTATGTAAAATAACAGATGTGTGGGCTCCATCACCAATAATTCAATTGGGAGAGCAAGGTCTACATTCAGTTGATTCCACTGCACTGAATAACTGGTGAATAAACATTCAAAGAAGAGAATAGAAAAAGGGGAAATAAAAGGGAAACAAAGTTAACTTACAAATTGAGGTGAGTTTAATTAATTGCATAACAAGATGGGCAAAGAAACAAACCAGAGGTCTGTATAAGGAAGATAAAGATAACAGAATTCTTAGTATGGATTAGACTAGGACAAACTGGAGATCAGAAGAATAATTTATTTATTATAAATAAGTACTTGCACAAACATATACACATATAATACACAGTAGATGTTTAAGTATTGTACTAGGTGATGGGGATATAATGGATTATGAGACACAAGCCAGGCCTTCATGGAGCTTATAGTCTAGTTGATGAGTTGCTAAGTTCAATGTACTTAAATTTGCAATCCAGAATAAAAGGTCATCTTTATAAACTAGATTGATGAAGCTACAAGAGTGAGTATATTAATGAGCTACTAGAGTAAGAATATTAAGAGAAAAGTACCAAGAAGTAGCTGTACAATTCAGGAGGAGTTAGAGAAGTAGGGTGATGTCAAGCCATAGAAGCAAAAAAAGGAAAGATATTCAAACAGAAGTTGTTAGTCACCCGTGTTAAGTTTTCCAGTGCAGGGAAAAAATTTCTACACATGCAAAATTTTCTCATGCATCATGGGGATTTCACAATTGAAAATTTCTGCCATGAAACACATTTTAGCACATGAAAATAGATGAACATGACCTGAGAACAAAATACAGAACCTAAGATCTCAAAAAAAAGAATCTTGAAATCTAAGTATTTTTTACAAAGAAAAGCCATAGTCAAGCACTAGTAAAATATAAATTAAAGCATACTAAATGAATATGTTCTAGATTTATGTAAATTTACACAAAATTTTCATAGGGACAAATGTGCTCTTCGTGATATGTGCTAGCTTCAATTAAAATCTTTACTCTTTTAAACAACTCCAGAAAATTTTCTACTGCTACAGTCAACTCAAACCCTTACTGAGATTATCAACAAGAGATTTTTATACATGCTCACTAGTACACATGAACTAGCTAATCAGCAGAGTTCTACAAACTCACTGCTACTGTTATGTAGCTGACTGCCGCCAGGTGTCATGCTAGTAGCCTTGATTCAATTAGTAACTTTAATTGAAGCTGAATGAAATTAATTATATAATTTTGAGCTGTTCAAGTTTAATTCCATTAAAATTAATTCATGAAACCAAGGCATTATAAAGCATTGCTGACTAAAAGAAACTGGGTATGAATAAAGCCTCTAGACACACTTGACTCATATTTGAATCATGTCCAATATTCAAGTGCTAAACACAAACCCTCTCAACTCTGTACTGAGCAAATGAAAATACCATGTGGTCCATACACACAATTTACAATTACATAATCCACTGGTAGGGGGAAAATAAAGTTCTTTAGACACAGAATTTTTATTAAGGGGACATTAGAATCACACTTTATTGTATGTTTCCTTATCTTGAAAATCCTAGAATTGGAAGGTCCCATTGTCCCTCTGATGTAAAAAAAAAAAGGGGGAAGGTGGGGGGAAGAAGTATCATTCTGTCTCATTCTAATCAGAAAATAATAAAGTGTATAGAATTACTATTTCATCGCAATAATCAGCTTATCCAACTTGCTTCCTTTGAAAACTAAGCATTTTGGCTTGGAAAGTTGATCTCTGGCTTTTGCTATGATACCCAGCACAAACCAAGACTTAGAAAAAGATGCCAACTTAAAAAAAAAAAAAACCTAAGCTGGGTGCCAGTGGCTCACGCCTGTAATCCTAGCTACTCAGGAGGGTGAAATCTGAAGATTGCAGTTCAAAGCCAGCTGGGGCAGGAAAGTAGCTCAAGTGGTGGAGCGTTTGCCTTGAGCTAAAGAGCTGAGGAACAGTGCCCAGGCCCAGAGTTCAAGCCCCACCACTGATCAAAAAAATATAATAATAAAAATATATAAATAAATAAACTGACTTGCTAAATTTCTATTTATATAAATAAAGCTGTGACCCACTTGAATACTATGAATTTCTACTATATGTATATCATTTTATCAGTGCTCCTTTTTAGCATTTAATATGTTGCAGTATCTCAGTTTAATGCAACACCCACATAGTCACCATAGAAATGATGTGTATTTACATACATCACTAAAGAAATGCACTGAAGAGAAAACAGGATTTTACTGAGAAGCAGTTACAAGATGATAAGACATCCAAACACACAACCAACCTGGCTACAACTTTCAATTAATTGAGTCAACCACAACTCATTGAGCTGATATCATCTAAAGCAGATTTCTGTCTCAATAACATAGGTTTATTGTGTCACTTGTGAACTGAGAAACAGAGAGCTCAGCCTTGACTTCAACAATTCAATTCCTGATAGACACAGTTTTGTTCCTGCAGTTCAGATACTATCTGTGCCTAAAGGACTTAGTTCATGGGCAATCATGAGGATTCAGTAATAAATGAAAACATTTTGTACCTGGCTACATGATTTCTACATATTGAAGCAACAAAATCTCCTTGAGAGTGTAACAACATTCTTTTAAAAGGAACCCACCGCATCTCAAAGTTATTGTTCTTCTAAGTCACTGTTCTCCACTTCAGCTCTGGCTCAGAAGCACTTAGCAAGCTCATTACATTTAAAGATAAGCAGGTCCAAATCTCAAGGAGAGGACCCAATTCAGATGACACTAAGGGTGATATCACATTGGCCACATTGGAAGGGTCCTGTAGGATAAAGGCTCTTCTCCTACACCACATAATTTTGTGTGTGTGCCAGTCCTGGGGCTTGAGCTCAGGGCTTGGGCCCTGTCCCCAAGCTTTTTCACTCAGGGCTAGCGCTTTACCAGTTGAGCCACAACTCTACTTCTGTCTTTTGTGGTGGTAAATTGGAGATAAGAGTCTCATGAGCTGGCTTCCAACTGTGATCATCAGATCACAGCCTCTTGAGTTGCTAGAATTATAGGCATGAGACACTGGTGTCGGGCTATACACACTAATATTTTTTTAAAAAACTTACAAAAGCCTACTAAATATCAAGATACATATCTTGCTATTCATCTTTTTGTCAGGTAAGTCCAGGTAATCAGAAAATAAACTTTATCTAGTCATCTAATTAATACAGACACATTTTGTTCTGTTTCTACATCAAAAATAACTATGAGAATACAATCCCTGATTTGTTTATAATTATAATTAGTTCTGCTAATTGATGGGATAAAAAGTATGTTTTGATATTAAAATAAAAATTGAAAGCATTTTAAAAATAGCACTTTACCAAAGGATAGTCATATCTTACCAAAGAATAGTCATATCTTACCCCAAAAGGCTAGCTCTCCAACATTCCACTGTACTTAGAATAGAAAGAAAAGTAAAGGAGAATCTTTGGATAAGAAAATGAATTAGGTCCCAGCAAAAAATATTTCATCCTGGGATGCCAAACACACATACATGAAATAATCAAGCAACTCAACAAACAGAGGATAATAAAATATTCCCTGAGTCATAATTCTGGCTCAAAGACTGACCAGCTGTGTGAGCAGGTCAGAGCCTCATTCTCCTCATCTTTGTTGGGAAGGAAGGTTATTGAACTACCTCAAATTGTGCAGCTCTGATTTTTCACAGAAATAAACAATAGAGCCCCAATCTCCTATACACTTTGAGTGGTGCTTGCCTAGAATGGAGTAGAACAAATCATAGAAAGGCTTTTGTAAAGTATTGGATTTGAGATCATTCTCAAAGAAAGTGACAACTATGAATTAAGCCAGAGAAAAAGTCAAAGGGAAAAAAATAAAGGTTCTAAATGATCAGTTTAAATACAATATGTCCCACTCAGAAATGATTATCTATCTTACATGATCGATGACCTCTATTTTTTGTATTTTTTTAGAAAAAGAGTACTTATGGTGAGAAGTACTCAGATCTTGAGAATGACAAAGATTCAAGTAAACAGATTTTCCATTTAATTTCAGATTCTATCGTATTTAGCTGGTATTATTCAAATTTAAAACATTTAGAGAGTTACATATTTCAGATTGTTGGAGAATCAAATAAAAGAATGGTTATTGGGCTGGGAAGGTGGCTCAGTGGTAGAAGGATTGTCTGGCATGCATGAGGCTCTGGGTTCGATTCCTCAGCACCACATAGGTAGAAAAACCTGGAAGTGGTGCTGTGGCTCAAAAGTGGTAGAGTGCTAGCCTTGAGTTTAAGAGC